GAGTTTCAAAATGCTTATATTAACGAGTTCGTAACTTGATAACACGGACTCTCGTATGTTTGATTGTTAACCTACGAACATGCATAGATTCTACGTAGGTTGCGTACGATATTCCTATGAATATAAAGACATAGATTATAACTAAATGTTCTAGAATTAGAGGGACAACTACTCACCTCTAAATGGAGGGATTGATGGAACGAGATGAACGAATGGTGCTAATGAACGGACAACGGACGAACGGCCTGCTTCACACGTGCACTTCCCTCTCTCCCTCCTCCGCGTCTACTACCAGAATTCCCCTTGGTGCTGCTGCTGCTTTGGCCGAATCAAGAGAAAAGGGGAGAGAGAGTGGTGGTGTGTTGAATATGGGGGTTACAAAGTGAAGGAGGAAAAGGATGGGATGGGGGTTTTAAAATAAGAATAATAATGAAGCAAGTAATGGGGATTTAAGTGAGCATTATTAGAGTGGCGTGTGAATGGGATGGAGGTTACAATATTTACTCTACTCCGTAATGTAAAATCTGACCTGAACGGTACGCGTTTTTCCCCCAAACGGGTCCGAATTGAAATCCGTTTGCGTTTCTAGAATAAGACAGTCAAGACGAATTTAATGATATGATCAAATAATTTTTCTAAGAACTTTTCATTTTCCCAACCCCGGTCCGGAACAGTAATTAATTAATTAAATTAATCAATTCTATTAGACCGGGTTGCAGGGCGTTACAATTATCCACCCCTTAAGAAAATTTCGTCCTCGAAATTTACTTGATCACAGGTCACTGAAAAGATGTGGATAACGAGTGCGCATGGATTCCTCGGTTTCCCATGTCGCCTCCTCGACGGTATGACTTCTCCACAGAACCTTGACCAGCGGAATGGTTTTGTTCCTCAACTGACGGACCTCACGAGCCAGAATCTCAACCGGCTCCTCCTCATACGTAAGATTTTCATCAAGTGTGACCGTATCAGCTGGAATCACATGAGAAGGGTCCGACCGGTACCTCCGGAGCATGGACACGTGGAACACATCGTGGATCTTGCTCAACTCTGATGGTAACTCGAGCCTGTAAGCTACGGCCCTATAAACCTCGGACTCAATTTCCCCTTCTTGCCAAAACGTAGGACGCTCTTCCAAGGCGACACCTTCAGGAAAACCTTATCCCTGACTGCATACTCGATGTCACGCCTCTTAAGGTCGGCGTAGGACTTCTTCCGGTCCAAAGCCACCTTAAGTCGGTCCTTAATCACCTGGACCTTCTCCTCGGTCTCACGAACCAAATCTGGACCTTCCAACCTCCTCTCGCTGAGCTCTGTCCAGCAGGTAGGAGTACGACAGGGTCTACCGTACAGAGCCTCGTACGGTGCCATACCAATGCTAGCCTGGTAACTGTTGTTGTATGCAAACTCCATGAGTGGCAGGTATCGCTCCCAACCATCCCCGAAGTCGATTGCACACGCACGCATCATATCCTCGAGAATCTGAATCACCCTCTCCGACTGACCGTCTGTCTGAGGGTGGAACGCCGTACTAAAGTGGAGATCGGAGCCCAATGCCCTCTGTAGACTCTTCCAAAACTGTGATGTGAATCGAGGGTCACGATC